GTATACCCTACTCAATGGTAAACTTCTGTCGCTATCCCGCGACATAAAAATGACGCTGCCACGAGGTTGAAAACTTTCGTCCCATCAATCACACACCCACCGTATCTAGAATAATGGGAAGGATGGTGAAAGATGAACTATTTCTATTCTTGTACACGGTTAACATCATCAGTAATTCGCTACACGGCTTCATGCAAGGTCGATCCTGCGCAACATGCCAGACTGACTTTTTAAACCACACAACCACTGCCATTGACAACGGAAACAGTGTCGTAATCCTGTTCCTGGATATGCAAAAAACGTTTGATAGAGTGCCTCACAGAAGGTTACTAAACAAACTGAAGGTGTTGCGGGCCCGTCAAATATTCCAGCAAAAACGCGCCAGAGACCCGGCAGAATGGCTGTGGAAAGCGACGTCCAATTCCTCCCCACAACGCAGCAGCCTTCAGCCACTCCGAGACGCGGCCCAACTGCGCACCTTTTGACAATGTTCTTTTACAAACTACCACCTCGTCGTGGTAGCAATTTTCCCTAACTTAATGACCCATAGCATTGGCTGTGATTTGCCCTTTGTTGGTCGTAAAAGAGCCTTCAGAGGACCACTTGCCTTTTTTCCTCTTCGCCTTAGTTGGGAGTCGGTCGGTCACGTGATTTTGTGTGCGTCGTTAGCCGGGCAGTGTTCGCGTCTAAGTCACTAGTGCGCGTCTACCGTAACCCCCTCTCGTGTGCGTCCGTTCCGAGGGCTCAGCTTCTACCCGAATACGTGCGGCTAGGATCGTTCTCACGCCCGCTCAATTTTCGTCTCACCAGCGCGTACCCCGGACTAAGCTAACGCCGTCAGGTCAACGCAAATCCGTTCGATTGGCCAGCGTTCCAATCCGTTACCGTAGACGTACTCCAGTCGTGCCAGGCATCTACGCAATCATATCAGAGGCGTTCCCTCAGTTATACCAGAAGGCTATATGCATTGAAGAACCGATGTTCTTTCGGCTGTCTTCATATCTAATTGGCAGACAGCAGGTGGTGCGCATAGGCGACCATTTCTCTAAACCGAAAGCAATCACTAGTGGGGTGATTCAAGGGAGTGTTCTCGGTCCTCTTCTTTTTCCAGTTTATATTAACGATATATTCCAGAGAATAAGAAATGTTGCATTTATCTTTGCTGATGACATTAAAGTTGTCTACTCACAACCACGTGCAAATACTCAGGAAGTCGTACGTCTCATTCAGGATGACCTATCTACCCTTGACTCCTTGTGCCAACTGTGGCAGACGTCATTTGCCGTGGACAAATGTAATATTTTGTCGTCCAAATACTAAGTACCACCAGACAGTTTATTACTACAAGCGCATATATCTCGCAATGCAGGGCAGTTCGCGACTTGGGCGTGCGATATTCAGTCACGTTTAACTTTTCTGAACACTGTGACTTTCAAGTTTCGAAAGCCATGTAGACCATCGGTTACGTCTGCTATCATTTTTATCCCACGGAATTTCACATATCGCTTCACAAAACGTATGTATCGCCGTGCATGGAATACTGTTCAGTGGTACAGTCTAATCTGCGGAAATCTGACCAGCATGCTCTTGAGAGGGTCCCAAGACGCCTCACGAAAAAGCTATGTGGATATTCCTCAAAGTTGACATACAGAGAGCGATGTGATAAACTTGGATTTGACCCAGTTTGGCTTCGGATAATGAAGCTGAACCTATGCTTTCTTTACGGATTCATAAATTGTCAAATTCACAGTCTGGTTAACGGTCTTTAAACAACAGATATCTAATCCGTAACAAATAGTTGTAGGTCATGGTTCCAAAATTTACTACGAGAATCAGAGAACTTTTCTTTCTAACCCAATACTCCAAGATTTGGAACAAACTTCCAAGTGATATCAGAACACTTTATAATTATAAGCTTGCGATTAGTAAGCATTTAACCGTCCAAAACGTGATTAATATGTTCGGGACATCACAGTCCCTAGATAACGCATTCGAAAACGGCATCCATGGTGCCTGAATACATTTCCGAAACACATGCACACAACATTTCGGACAACAGCCCCTTTCATTACATTTTTTCTCGGCCCAAATATCTGTCATATGATTGTGAAGAATCCTGGTTCAATGGTTTACCTATTTTGCAATTGCACCAACGTTTATTTCTAAAAATGTAATAATGCAATGTCATGGAAAGGTTGTGCCATTATTTGATCTGTTCGTTCCAGTGAACAGCTCGCATCATCGAGGAATATACAATTTAGTAATTTATTTATTTATTGGAGGCTGTCGATTTCACATATTGTCAGATCTATTCGCTGCATTGTGTGCGTGACCCAACGGACAAAATGTTTGGATCGTCTTTACCACTTTCGGCAATATAACGTGGTTTTCTTCGGCCTAAACAACTGCTTATACAGAATCACAGTAAAGGCCTTCTCCCCGTATTTTAGTGATGCGCATTTTTTTGTCCTGGGCATTTGTTTTTGGTAGTCACTTAATGTTTAGCCGTGAAAATAAATTACGATCTTGAACTAAATCAGAGCGGTTGATATTAGTAACGGAGAGAACTATATGAATGGGGAATGACTAACATCTATACAGTTACCAGGTGAGATAATAAAATATAAGATGTAAAATAATAGTGGTGATTTGCCGTGACTGGGTATGGTTTTCACAGTTCCCGTGTACGACGTAGGGTTTTGCAGCTGACAGAACTCGTCGAATGAGGATCCGACGGAGTGTTAACTGCAGGCTATCCGTGCTATAGCTTAAGCCTGAGCTGGCCTGATCGTCTCCTGTCCGAAGTATGCGCGCATTCACGAGTGTCTGTGGAAACACAAGTCGCCTGTTCCGGGCACCAGCATATATCGACCAATTCATCAAAGTGTCGAGAATGCCGTCTCTGTGCCTATTATTCGTCTTGATCATCAAACGTCCATCAAACGTCCAGAGATCATATTTTTGCAGCCCGCGGCGAACCCAGATTGATAACTTGTCCGGATTTCACTTTGTATGTACGTGAAGACGAGAACAGTCCAAGGATGCACAAAGAAGCAATTAACCGGATTTCTTCGAGATCATTGCAACCCGAGCTGGATTGCGGTGCCACACCAAGGGAAATCAAATTCATCTGTCAATTCAGGTTTTCGTCTGTTCTCCGAACTGAACAACTTCGTCGCAAATGTTTCATCACTAACTGAGTCGACTACGGCAAACTGAGCATCCGATGACCGAGTGACGTTTTCACTTGATCACTTCTGGCAATTTTTAATGTCACTGATTGAGACATTTTTACGAATACCTCTGAATTAAGACACTTCACATAGGTAACCGTGTCACGGGTGTAAAAATGCGATTACTATGTTAGGCTGAAATGTGATCTCAGGGGTTTGACTATCGTCACTTTGCTCCTGATACCGCCCTATCCACAACGGTGAGGTTCATATGTTGTATGTAGGCAATGATTGTTTAAGCAGATCATTGGATCAACGAGTGAGGCTAACTAAAATCCACCGGTTCGCGTCAGTACTAATTGTGCACGCTCAGTTTACAATTTGGTTCTCGTCTAAACCCATTGCTCAACCACAAACCGCTGCGTTGTATTGATCGGGAAGTCCACTGACATTGTTGCCAACTACTCGTGAGTGTACGGATTTGGTGACATTTATTTACTCCATCGTAATTAGGTTACAGGCCAGGTGGACCCGCTACTAACCCAGATAAGCACCAGACGGCGGTTTCGTCCTCGTCTTGAGATTCGTCAATGTTGTGCGATCCCCCATTGACCAAGATATCAAACATACGTCACTACATCCAGGTCTGCACTCACAGCTCCCGTGCCTCTGTCTACTCGAAAAGAGAAGGCAAACTCGAAATAGGTCTTGGAATGCTGTGTTTTCGGGCGGACGACATCGGGATTTCTCCGCAGCTCACTTTTGTACACTCAATGGATTTAGGTCCGAGAGTCACAGTGGTTGGCTTACCAGCAGTCACAACGTTAATTGGCCATTAGCATGGCTGCTGTTGGCCCGCCTCACTTTCCCTGCTTCGGTCACCTTCGCCCCCACCTCGTACATGCTTCGGACCTTACGGGACGTGGCTCGCAGCCGGTACCAGTGACACGTTTGCGTGATTACATTGTTAAGGTGTATATGGTGCCTGGCTACTTGTGAGGGATGTACATTAGTTCACATAGTGACGTTTATCGCAAGGGAGCTTCTCTGTCCGATACCGCCCTGTCTTCACGGCATGACCATTTATATGTAAACGTTCATTGTTAGCATGACGTAGTTAAAGTCTGTATGAACTTTACTTTATTGTTCGAACCATATGATTTCCCCTTGGATGGCCCAGTACTCCTTATCCCACCATTCCCAATTACCAACGCACCTTGTGTGCTTTAGGTGTTTACATCCTCAAACCATTGACCTCGTCGATTTAGTTCGTTAACATGACCTCTATACTTCAAGTTCGCATCGTTATACTTTCATCAGTCAGTCGATAACTGTACCGTTGCAGTTAGCTATTTCCGCTCGCTGCCCGCACGTTGCAAACCTGTCGTGAGTTCCATCTTTTAGGACCACGGTTACAGGATTATATCACAAAATCTTCTGCTCAGACCATGCGTATAATCTAGGCTTACAACTCGAAGTAGCGTTATTTGCATACGTGCGACGTTTTACCGTCATGATGAATGCCTTAATCCTACACATTTGTAGCGTTTGAGTTTTGCAGCAAGCCCCCTCATCTGTGAGAACATCTCACTAAATGGTTGTATGTCAACAAATAACCGGTACAAGGTGACAGTTTGCGGTCGCTGCTAGTGATGGTGTTCATCCCTACCACGAATCGACATGTCAACCGGCTGCTTCACAATTCTCTAACCACATCCTGGTCCATTACTTGGTGTCCGTTATAACAGACATGATATATACTTTTCAATCAACCAACTGTAGGAGTCCTTCTATTGCCCACTACTGTGCTTTCTTACCAACTTTTAGTGAATCCCCAGAACCAGCCGACTCAACCTTCGCTGGCAGACGATTCAAGTTGGGTCAATACGTCAGAACAGTACAAGATCATGGTAAGCCAAGCTCCAATCTACTACCGTTGTGGGTTTCCTATCAAACCGATAACTTGTACTACTGATGATTTAAGAGTACCCTAGCGCTATTCATAATTTCCTCATCCTCAACAGCAATACTTAGCCATTTGAACTGGTGCTTTGCTGCCGTACAACCATGGTAACGATGAACAGTAAGAGAAAGAGATGGGAGACTTGCCGGAAAACCTTAATGTTCCAAACAAACACCTTGTAGATAACATTCTATCACAAACAGCTGGCTATCGTGCAAAGATAAGACGACATCTGCGGAGCGGCTTTCGCTGCCACGCGTCATAATCAACTATTACCCCGCAGATAACTTAGGCAGTCCGACTAGGAGCCTGCAACAGACGCACCACTGATGTCGACTACGAGCCATGTCCCGTAAAGCCTGGAGTTAAGCACAAGGTGGGTCAGGTTTACTCCAATTGGAAAGACAAGCTGGACCGACGGCATCCACTTTGCTCGTCATTGACTTCGTTCCCCGCTGTCAACTTTTGTTCACCTCTAGCCTTGCGCCACCCTACATCTGGTATACAAAACAAAACCCTCCTCTCGGTAAGCGGTGATCAGACATACATACTACGTGCGCAAGCCAATACAACTCATTCGGTGCTATCTGTTGTTCTAAGAAACTAGCCTGGGAATCACTGTTTAGTACTCGCCTACGCATATCATCATTGCGGACACGCTAGTGCCACTCGACACTAGCGATACTTCGCAGGCAACCATGATCAGACTTGAACGCGCTCCAGATCGAAGTGGCCAACTTTAACTCCCGTAAAGTAGGACTGCCCTCACTGTGGCTTTGTAGATAGTACCTTGCAGACGGAGGGTAAGTGCTTTCTGTTGTCAAAGATGTCGCAGGATCAAGAAAGCAGTTCTGACTTTTGGAATACGTGAACTGACTTCAGATTCTATGTTCCCATCGTTGCTGATGCAGTTGCCAAGGTAAGTGAATTGATCAACTACCTCGAGTTCTCGCTGTCTAGGGTCAAGGGGTCATCAAATGACTAGTGGTCCTGCAGCAACACTTTACACTTTGAAGATGCGAAGCGCATGCCAAATGATAGGACCACTCTTGAGAAGTTATTCAGGGTTGATTGCGCCTCCCCATCATCATTAAACAGCAAGCTAGTGTCGTCTGCATAGTCAAAATCAACCAGCCTTTCACCAGGCAGCACCTCAATGCCTGCATCGTGAGATTCCGCAAGGGGGCACTCTGTGTTGGACTTCACTATGAAGTTGACTAAAAATGGGGGATATTGGACCATCCTGACGAACGTCACTTGTTGTCCGAAAGATACCCGATAGGCCACCGTAGACCCTGACGCGGCCTGTAGTGTACGAGTATGGAGCACGAATGATGTTCACAAATTTCTTGGAAACACCTTTCCGCGCAACTATTTCCAACAAAATGGATCGATCGACTGAATCGAACGCACTCTTGAAATCGAGGAACACAGCTATTGTGGGTCTGCGGTATGCGTGGCGCTGCTCTAGCACCTACCGCAAAGTGAATATATGGTCTATACAGCCACGTCCTGGACGGAAACCTGTCTGCTCTTCCCTAATCCGAGATTCCCGTTTCGCAGTGAAGCGAGGAACGAGAACCGAGACCAGTAATTTTGTCACAACTGGCGTTAGACTAATACTCCTTTGGTTAGCACAGTCTGTGCGACTGCCCTTCTTATATATTGCCACTATGACCGACTCACTCCTGTTAGCTACGATGGTCTTTTCCTTTTAGTCCTGTTCGAACAGAGTGATCGGTGCTTTACGATGGAATCGCACCACCATCGAAAAGTTTCGGAGCTGCTCTCTGCCAACAGTTTTGGAAGAGAACAGCTCGGAAAGTCTCCGCTTCAGATGTGGTCTTAGTGATCGAAATGGCATAGGTTTGTTTCAAGGCAAACTGTAGCCTCAAACGAGGTTGCGTGTTGCAATCCAGACACACGGCGATTACTTCAAGACCCAATAATAATGAACTTCACCATCATCCTTAAATAGTGCAGCTGGGAGAGAGAATCCAGACGAGCAGCACGAAAACACGCCTAAAGGCTGTGCTCGCATCTGCTGGAGCCTCTCTAAACCAGAGATGTCCAAAGTCCGGCCCGCGGGCCAATTGCGGCCCGCATTAACATTTCAACTGGCTCGCGGCCTCATCTTAAAATAATAAATTCAAGCTTGCATTTTTCCATACAGACGACATTGCATAGATTAAAAATTAAAGACTTTACGGTTACGTAATTCGATGTCGTCAGCTGCTGACAAAAATCCACGATGTCGTATTGTTTTCTTAACCAACTAGGAAAAGTCCATTTAGCACTTTTACTAAATTGTTTTTAACTGGACCAAAAATTACAATAGATATCCAGATCTCAGTTTCACCATTCACATTAAAAACTTGTAATAAATATTTACAAGGTATGTCATTTTTGCTTAATGTTAGACTGGATATGGCCCGAGACATTTTTACCTCACAAAATGTGGCCCTGCTTGCGAAAAGTTTGGACACCCTTGTTCTAAACTAACCGTCCATGGCTCGTCCTGCATCACCTGAGTAGGAAGAGGTCCGGGAGCATAGGGCCAGCTGAACTGATCATGAAAGTGTTCCACCCAACGAGGCATACCGTGTTCCTTATTGTGTATCAGTGCACCCGCGCTGTCTCTGATTGTCTCACTGACGCCTTGTTACCTGGGAGCGGTGATTCGGATCAGTTGGAAGTGCCTGCGGTAATTGCCTACTGCTCCTGCCTCCTCCATTTCTTGAGTCCTACTGGTCCATCATGCTTCCTTGTCAGCAGGCACATTCCGCTTTAGTTCACGCCTAATAGCCCGTCTGTTCACATTGTGCTCAGAGCCAGCCGCTAGTTTTCTTCTGGATTCCAACGAGTTCACCGACCTATCGTATATCTAGTGACTGGTGCGGTGACGACTGATATTACCACAAGCAAAGGTTCTCGCATCGTGCATAGCGGCCTCGATCCTATTCCATTGAGGCTTAGAGTTATTAGAAGAGAGCGGAAGCTCGTTTCGCAGGGCATCCTGACCGAGCGCTGAGATAACTTCTCAGTTTCCAATCGAGGGAGACGCTTGGTACGTCTGCCGAGAAATTTTTATGGGTTATTCACATAATCAAAGTTAACCGTTTAACCAAAGTCAAGTTAAGATTTAAGTACCCTAGCTTTCCTTTGTTTTTTGGAGTAGCTCCCGAGTCGTATCACCTATTCGTGATTCTGTTGTGTTCATTCGTTTATTAATGCACTTGTAGAACAACTATGTTTCATTTCAATTTAATCAACCCACTTCCCTGTTTTACTTGTCAAGACCGCGCTTTATTTTGCTGAACCGGACTAACCGCCCGAATTTTCCGCTGTGATGTTCGTCCGTGGTCCTGGTGCGGGTTGTGTCGTACTGATGATTTGGAATGAAAAGGGCTGTCACAATGAAAAGTTGCAAATATTGCATGTGTTTGTCTTATCCTCCAAATGAGCGGTACATGCACAATCTAGATATTTCGTATGGAGCCGGACCCCTACCAGTTCGTCTCACCTTTCGTTACCAAAGCCATCTAAAATTGTTATCTTAGCTAAAGCGTTTTCAAGCAATCATTCCTAGCTGAATAATTCTCCGGTTTCGCTCCCACCAATTTCGTCAACCAGTTCGGTAAGCCAGTAGTAAGTGTGGCGATAGCTAGGATTCACGTTTAACCAAGATAAAGTCGTTCATACGGAATACGAGTTGTGAGTGCATGCCCGTGGGCAACTCAGTTTGGTTGGCCCACAGACTCTCCAAGTGTCACTGTCTGGTGAGCTAACCTAACCTATTGAACTGTTGTGTGAACTGCTCCGCCACAAAACATTGGTACGGCCACAAGACCTAGACGGCTTTGGAATCACCTGAATTAACTCGGTAAGGTGTACCGTGTAATTCCGACTCTACTCACTCCTTGCAGGCAAGTGCAAACCCATCGCGATCGATAACAGCAGTTAGTGTTGATGTAATAGGCCCGAAAACCGTCCGCGCCCTTTCATTCTCCGTTTTGTATCTCACCGGACCAACTGTTTGACTCTTTTGATTCCCCTCTTAGTTTTACTGCGTTATCCACTTTTTTCATCTCTGTCAGACAGTCCTACCAAGCCCTTCTCTCTCTTTACTCATGGTCTGACGTATGATCTTGGCGGGATCGGTTGCGTTTGTTTTTTTCTTAACATACCTCAGGGAATTAATTTATCCTATTCCCTAGGGACTGAGCGGCGACGTTTCACGCTCTTTAAAATGACTAGCCGGTTGCTCCCTCCTTTGCTATATATCACCCTGAAAAGAGTGTTTTACTCTCTTTTGTGTCATCCATCTTACAGCGCTCCCAGATCTGTGCTTTTTGCACAAGTTCTTCAAAGCCAACGTCCCTTGGATTCGAAGTCTAATTAACCGCTGGCGTGCCACTGAGTCTACTACTGGCGCTGAGATCGGACCGAAGCTGCGTGACCTCGACTTGGTTGCAGATGACAGCGATGTTCCCTACTCTTCTGCTGCATCTTATCAAGTAAGTCTGTTGCTTTGTCTTTTTTGAACCACAGTACACGCTCAGCAAAAGATACGTTGAGTCAAACTTCACTGTCTTTTAGATATCTCTCCAAGATTCCAACAGCAAATATAATCGCAGCACAACATTGGCATTTCGATAAACTTCTTCGACATTTCAAATAGCCATTCGTTATTCTCACCTCTGCATCTCTAATCGGTACTCAATTGACTTATGTCTGGTTTTGATGTATGCAGTTTAAGTCTCTTCATTTTCCCGCCTTGGTATCATTGTGTGTATGTGTGCCTTCGTCTAGAAGAAATGGGATATCTGTATCTCGTATATCCTCGGTTGAGTTGCGCCACTTCCCCATCGCATGATGCGCACGCTACTGTGAATGTGCTTCGAGTCAGCCATCTTTGGGAGCCAACTCGCGTACACTATGACTGATGTTGCTTTTGGTACGTGACTCGATCTAATCGCACCGGCACTCACTTCGAACGGTGACTGTTCCAAAAAAGCACTTGCAAATTCTGATGATCATTTGACTAGATCTGCTGGCTTTGGAGCAACCCTACATGCTGGAAATGATGCATAACCGACCTTCATCCAGAGCTGAAAACAATACTTCATCATAGGAATTTCTCATGATTTCACCAGCGGGCTTTCTCTGGTCCACTCTTTGTCGTCATGTTGCTCAAAATCGCACTGAATTGTGCTAACAGATCATCCTCTTAACAGCCGACTGTGCTCACCTTTCACTGTGATCTCTCGTTTGTTTGTTTTTTCTAATCTCTTCCTATCCTCTTTTTCTTCCCATGCTGTTTCTCTTCTGCCTCCTTTTCCTGGCGATACAACTCGTGTCCACTGGATCCACCATACTACATTAGGGTTACACCTCCGTAAGTCGATCACACTCAATGGACTGGACCGATGGTCAACCTACGGAGGTCCTAGACAAAAACTCCGGGGTCTCATGCTTTCCCACTATGATTATTATTATTACAGTAGAAACTTTATTTCCACGTAACTCCTGTTTCAAATATATTGTTGGATAAGCAAATGGCTAAATCATACAGTATTATAATACATCAAAAGGCATTGCGGTTTCCTCTGTTGATTCGTTTTTTCAACTCAGTGTTTCTCTGTTTCTTTTTCTTATCACAAACATAATTGAACAGGTTAGCTTAGAACTGGTTACTCAACGGTTCGGCAGGTACTCTTAATTGCGACTTGTGCAATGCGTGGGCACATGCTCCAAAGGGTAGGCGTGATCAGTGCCTGTGTATGTAGACGGGTAAGGAGAAACCTCACGCAGTAATGTCATGGTCAATCCGTAGATGCGGATCTGTGGGGATACATTGTACGATGGGAACACCCCTGCGCAAAAACACCGAGGGGTGGGAAAAAGATATGGTTGGCGGCATCCGGTTTCGGATTTGCTTGTCGCTGTTGCCAGCCACAGGACGCCTGCGCCTACAGAGGGACCATGCCTGGCTTGCGCTGCACCACCCACAGCTCCATCCACACACCCCATATCCAGTGTAAACTCGAAGGAATAAGGCCGGGAGGCATGTGGATGGGAGCCACGTTTCATCAACGGAGCCGGCCCACACTCCTTCACAGGCAAACACAAGCACGCTGTAGTTGGGAATCAATCCCACACAAGGCGGTGGTTGGACCGTAGTCCGCTCCACACTGAGTGCATGGAACCACTCTTCGAGCCTAGCACGACCACAAGGACCGTGCACCCCGTCCCTTCCAGCAACGACCAACTGTTTTCTAGAGCCAGTATGGACGAGGTAGTGGGTAATAGACAGGTATGCACCTTGTCAACATGGACATCAAATGCAGCCACACCGGGGATGTCAAACAACAGCCAATAACTTGCAATGACACTATCAAATAAAATATATCTGTTAAACAATACGGCTATGCAGACATAACTCTTCCCTAAATTGGTATATGAAGTAAGCTGGTTAGCAACGAATCCGCAATAAATACAAAATGTCCAGAAGTTACTCAAACAATGTTACAAACGCAATAAAGTTAGCAAAGATAACCACAATTAGCGTAAGCAACGTGTGCAAGTTAATAGAAGATTATTCCGGTGAGCACAAGAAACCAAAGAAAGTAGAATTAAATTTACCCGGCTTAAAAGGACTTAGTTAAAGTGTAAGTTGGTTTAGCCCAACTGTGATGAAGAAGCCTCATGAATAACGTAACACCAGCCTCAGCATAGGGACAAAAATACACACATGCATACATACACAAACAGAGAGTATGCTGCTTCATCAAACGTCTGTGGAGCTGTAAAATGCAGTGCTTGTAGATCAAAAGCACTTCACGCACTACGAGATCTCGTTGCAAAGGCATCGGTATTTGAACGAGCGAATCGTTCGGTAACCATTACACGGCAAGTTCACTTCAGGCCAGTCGATGAACTACGATCCGAGCACCGAAGTGCGGTGGATCCAATCGCCACGACTCACACCATAAAAATAACCCTAAATAACACTGGCAGAATTGTAGAGTTGGGTGCAAATAGAATGGAGATGAACTTGAAAGCGACAAGGAAATGCGTTAGACTAATAAGAACGGAACGGGAATTCACAACTAAATGTTAAAAGCTACGGAACACAGAAACGCCATTAACTGCGTGACTACGCGTCAAACCCGGTCTCTAACTACTGGTGTGGACCATCCCGAGGCCCCCACCCTGACAAAAACTCTCGTCAACTTTCTATGCCATGTCATGGACTGGATACCACGAGGTTTCACCCAACTTGATGCAGCCACGGCGTATAATGGGCGCCGACGAAGCCGCTCAACGGGCATACGATGCATACGGCCTAGCCAACGCAAGCGACTAAGATTTTTCAAACATTCGAGAGATGCCTTCTTGCCAAAAACCAACTGGCGGATCTCAGCATTGCTCATCCGGTGTTCCCATCAAACATGCGCAATACTCCGCTAGTACGGGGGATCAAAGATGGCCAAGCGTTTAATGTCTTCATGGCGAACTGGCCATGTCTCCGATCCAAACAGTAACACTGATCTTATCTCAGCGTTATACACCCTACCTTTTGCTAAAACGCTGATATCTCACTGTCCCCACAGATGCTTAAGCCTCTGGAAAGCCACTCGGGTCTTGCTGATACGCGAAGTAACTTACTCAGTGATATGACCGCTAGAAGTGACACAGCTACCAAGGTACGTGAATCGATCCACCAGTTGCAGTGGTTGTTCGGAAATAGCTAAAAACCGAGGTGTGTCGGTTCAGTCCTGCAACAGCACTTTGAAGGTGCAAAGTACATGCGGAACCGTGCAGCGCTACGCACGTCTGTGCAGTAGTGTTTACATAGACAAAACATCAGACCGAAGGAGAACTATGCCGTCCGCATATTCCATGTTGTCGGTCGGTCACCTGGCAGAACCTTCACTCCAGAATAGTCTGAAAGAACTGAGTCGCTTATGATCAATTCGGTCACGAAATTGCAGAGGAAAGGAGATGCAGGACAACCCTAGCGAGCCCCAGTTTTCGTGGAGAACTCAGGAGAGAGTTTACCATAGAATCTTATACGGCCTCGGGAGTCACGATGGTGGGACTTGAGAATGGAAAGGAATTTAGCCGGCACGCGCTTCATAGATAGGCAATGCCACAAGCTGGCGCGATCAGCAGAGTCGAAAGTGGCTTTCAAATCAAAGAAAACCACCAAAGTTGGTCGTCTGTATGTGTCTCTGCTCTAAAACTTGGCGATGAGTAAATACGTGGTCCATACAACCACGAACAGGGCGAAGGCCAGCCTGGCTTTCAGTGATTCTCACGGAGACCATTGAGTTGTTGGAAAATGATACCCGTGATGAGTTTGGATGTAATGGGAACAAGGCTGCTGCCTCGATTTTCGCACAAATTACGCTGAGTGAGCGTCAAGTGTGTACGCACTAAAGCATGGACAGAATCCCGGCCGCGTGCTCCAAATTGACCGACAGTCTTGCACTGATGTGCGCCATCTGTAGCTGACGACAATGTGGTCAATTTGGATCCACGTCATGGAGGGATTCGGGAGCGTCAGGTGACGCCGTGTGAACGTTTGTGCTGGACAGCAGTGCTGTTACTATAAAGATTGTGGTCGATACACAGTTGCAGGAATCGATCATCATTGTCTTTTCGGTGTGCATCGACTCCGAAGTGCCCTCCCAGGTGTCGTTCAGAGTCTGGAACACGACCCACTTGAGCATTCAAGTCAGCGGTAACGATCAAAAGGTCAGCATTCATCGCCATGCGATCATTTGAAAAATGGTAGTAAAATTATCTTTGGTACCCTCCGAACTGCTCTCAGTATGAGCATAAACGGAGACGATGGAAAGGCATCTTGTCTTCATACGGCGGACAAGACTGAGGCCGTTCTGTTGTCTGCGAATCGTCTCCGCAACGACTCAAGTGGAGTGCGCATACTACCCGAAATCCCGTGGAAAGAACGTTCAGTAGATCCCACTAACAAAGAGAGGAACAGAAAAAGTCAAGATAAGAAAACAGTGATTGCCCACGGTGTTCCCGAGCTTACTAATTCCTCTTCCGACGATGCTCAGATGCACGACTGCGAGCAATGGCACTACATCCGGGAGTCTCTTTCTCTCGAAAATGTAGTGGTCACCCCGTTGACAAGGATCCCCATATCACCAAACTATAAGGAGTGCAGTCCCAGGTTGCTAAAACTTGTGTTACAGTCAGAACTAACTGCATAAACCCTACTAAAGAACTGGACTAAATTCCGTTGCAGATTGCCAACAGAAATTTGTCTGAAAGCAGCGGGAACACTAGCACCTTCTAATGACAATTCAGTAGAGGCACAACTCTCAATGAAAACGCCAACTGCAGGACCCGACTCGGTGACGGTTTCAAGAGTAGCCATAATATCCGAAGGGACACAGTAGAGCATGAGCAAACACCAGGATCCGGGACATCTGATACCTGCTTATATATCAAATACTTCTCGAGAGTATGCAACCCATCCAAA